GCAGTGCCCAGATCTGGATATAGTGCAGCAGATTAGCTGGATGACTGATTTTTGGAATAATGGTATTGGACTGAGTGTATGAAGTTTGACCCATAATTATAAGGCAACTGCCTTTGAACCATCTATAGATTATGCATGATCCTTGAGGTCAGGCCTACACAGAATTAATTAAACTATTCTGGCTGAGAAGTGACAATAGCAGGAATAGTCTTTGTTAAAATATCTCATTCAAGGAAAGGCTGCAGCTGGAGCACCATTCATCCAGACCCTGACAGTCTCTGTGTACTGAATAAAGATATTGTTTGGGTCTACTGTTTTGTTGGAAGATACACATCAAGTTATCATCAACATCAACATACTGATGGTAATTGATCTCCCCAGCAACTCCCAGATGGTCCAGAAAGATACTACAGTCAATGATATTGATTGTTGCTGAGAAGTCCATCAAGACCAAGATAATTTCTTGCTTTTGTGGTCATTTTGATTTCTGGCAGCAACATCTTCAACCACTCCTCTCTTGTTACCATCTTCCATTATTGCTTTCCACCCAACATTTTAATTTTTTCCCCTCCTCTTCCTTCTTCTCTCTCACTATCCTCCCATATCTCACTAAAAAAGATTCAGATGCAACAGGAAAAAAAAACCACATCAACCCACTTATTCTCTCTTCCTCACATGGAACACTTTCGCTATTTTGTGACTTCTTACAAAACAACAACAAAATATAAAACCATTTGTTGTTTGTTTGTGTCCCCCCCCCGAATTACTTGGTGGCCAGGTCATAGTTAATGATAGCTCTGGTTTATTCTACACTGGCCAGTCCACATTTTGAATGATGTTTAGTTCATAGAATGAACTAAAATATATACAGAAATGGATTATCTGAATGTTGGAAGCTGGATATGTTTAGTCATCTGAGTAATTGTTGAAAATGCTAGTTCAATTTGAGGAAAAGAAGATTAAAACAAATTATGAAGGCAATGGCTAAACATCTGGAAAATTGCTATGCAGAAGTGGGTCCAGAGTTTTCTTTTGCTCCATGCAATTAACTAAAATCTGTTGGGTGGAAACCTCAGGAAAACAGATTTTGGCTGAAATGAGAAGTGAAAGTTCAACATTGGAAAGGCTTATTTTGTGGGCAAAATGAGGATTAGATTCTCCTCCTTTGGTGATATGTTTAAACATAGATTGAATGGCCTCTAATTCGGGATGCTATCTGTCTGTCCTTCATTGTAGTCTACACTGACCCGGACATGAAGTTAGATGATTTCCAAGCTCTTACAAGCTCTTTGAATCTCTGCAGTCATTGACCATTTAAATCTCTTACCTCCAAAGTAAGACTAAGAGTCCAAATCTCACTACAGAGTCTTATTTCTATCCATTGTGTGTGCACTATCCATTTAGTCCTTGTTCTTTTTTATGTTACTGATTAAAATGCTACATTTATTCAAGAGCCTTTAGTGAGGAAAATCATCAACAAGGTTAATACTTTAGATTTGTAAAAAAAACAAAAAACAATAATCCTAAGCAATCTTTAACTACTGCAGCCTTCCCACATAGGTTGGGCTAAAATTCCTACTATTTCTAACTAGGAAGTAATTACTATTGAGAGGTATAATTGATATATCTGGAAAGTCAAAGATTTGGGGGGGAAATCACCCCTATTCCCATGCGTATTGAGACTCTTAACAAATCCTAATAGGTTAATAAAATCCCCTTTGTAATGGTATATGGGAATGACCCTGGAAGACAGAGGGAGAGCCGCAGACTGGAAAACTGACATGTAAAAGATGTCTCAACCCACAGAAGGGACAGGATGTGGGAAATGTTTGTGTTGGTAGGAAAGACCTTGGGATATGGGGTGGAGAGCTATTGCCTAAGGCGGGGTAGGCAACCTTGGCTCTTTTATGACTCATGGACTTCAACTCCCAGAATTCCTGAGTCAGCATAGCTGACTGAGGAATTCTGGGAGTTGAAGTCCATGAGTCATAAAAGAGCCGAGGTTGCCTACCCCTGCCTTAGGGAATGATCAGATATATAATGGTATATGGTAATGACCTTGGGAGACAGCAGAGAAGAGAGGCTGTCAAGGGAATGGTCAGGTAAAAGAGGCCAAAGCCTGTGGCTGCATAATGGGTGGAGCAAGAGGCTAAGGAGGATCACCCCTTCCCAAAATCTTAGGCTTTAAAGAACATGGTGGGAAAGTTGTACTTTGAGACTTGCAGGAGTCTGTTAGTGTAGATTTACAATAGAGTAGAATTAGTTTATCTGATTGTGATTCTTATCTAGCCTACCTAGTAAGGTTGACATCAGTCATGCAAGTCTGAAAGTACAATTCTTCCGCTGCCACCTTTGCAGCCCAAGAGAGGATCCTTCCTGAGCCTCTTGCTCCACCTACTATGCAGCTATGGGTTGTAATGTCTCTTATCTGACCATTCCTCGTTCAGCATTCTTCATCTCCCAAGGTCTTTCTCACATACTGTCAAAGAGACCCTCCTTAGTTTTCCAGAGAGTAAGAGGAAAGAAAGGAGAAATACTTTCAATTTTATAAGACTCTGTTAATGTGTAATTGTAGTACTTCCGAGTGTGCTTTTCATCTGGATTAGCCCATAAGGCTTCTTCTTTTTCTTTTTCCTCTATGTCTGGATCAAACTTTAAAGTGCCACAATGAAGCCACCTTCTTGGCTTTGTTATTGGCCCCAAATAAGTCATTATTGGTACATGTTTTTGGTAGTAGCTAACATACCGGTTTGCATCTCTCCAGATTCACACACTGTGTTGTTATCTGCTGAGAGCCTCCACTTGAGCATATTGGCTCTACACTTAGACCAGGGGTCTTCAAACTTGGCAACTTTAAGACTTGTGGACTTCAATTCCCAGAATTCTGGGAGTTGAAGTCCACAAGTCTTAAAGTTGCCAAGTTTGAAGACCCCTGACTTGGGCACTCTAACCCTCAAGCTATTCAGGATCCTCCAAATAGTATAAGGGACGTCAGATTCTTCAGCCATATCCTCCTTTAATATTATTCCTTGCACGATTGTCTCCTTCCTCCTTTTAATTCATTTTTTTTTAACCCATAGGTCTAACACCCTTGCAGTGAATGTGCAAATGATCAAGGATACTGTATATTCACAGGTGAACCGCCTTATTGTGGTTTTGGGTCAGCAGAATAAATCAAGACCATATTCTGTATAACTAAAAGTCTGTCTGAGATCATTCACATTACCTCATCCAAGAAGAAGCTATTAATCTTTTCTGTCATTGTAAAGTGGGGCAGAGAAAGGCAGCCAAAAGATAATTCTTCTTTTATTTATGGGATGGTAAATAATTGATAAGAAGTGGTAATCAATAGTTATCCCAGTAGCACAATTAGGGAAATTAGCAGAGAAGAACATGCTTATTATGCAAGAATGTCTGCGATCCTTTCTTTATGGAAAACAGATTTCCAGAGCTGATATACAAGCATTTTCGGCCATTGTTCCAATATTATAATGTTATACCCTTCTCCTTCACATTCCTCCACTAGTAAAACATTTGTGAATGCACTGCCTCTTTAATTTCCATCTTTTTGGCAACACTTCTGTTTGGCACATCACTTTATGTACTATTAATCTCAATATTGATTGTGTTCCATAGGGCAAAAGTTAGGTGTTACGACGCATTGAGCTGTTCGTGTAACAAAATGCCTCTATGTAATTTAATGTTAGAACTTTTATGTAATAGTGCACTGGGGAGAAACATTGAAGAAAATTGTTGTAAATAATAATACATTAAATTAATAGGTTTGCATTCTAAGAACAAGCCTCTGAGACCAATGAAGGAAAGTAAGATGTGGTAGGATTCTTAAAGTAAATAAGCAAGACAGTTTTGAGCAATGCTTTAGGTCGATTGAAATTATGAGAGCACATATGGGCATTGTTACCGGCATAAAGTGTTTGCCTGTTCATAAAAAAGTTGCTCTGGATGGTGATCATCACTTGCTGTTAGTCTTCCAGGAATGTCCGTCAACCTAGTTTGTGTTGCTATGGTTCATCAAATCACCTGTGACTCTTGGTGATTTCAAGAACAAGTCCAAACAAGTTTCTTGATAATGTTTGTGTTGCCATTACATTTTTAGCAGTAGCTCTTAGACTTATATACTACTTTATAGTGCTTTACAGCCCTCTCTAAGCAGTTTACAGAATTAGCATATTGCCCCAACAGTCTGGGGCCTCATTTTACTGACCTCGGAAGAATGGAAGGTTTAGTCAACCTTGAGCTGGTCAGGATTGAACTCCTGGCTGTGGGCAGGGTTAGCCTGAAATTCTAACAACTGTACAACCACAACTCTTGGCTGTCTCTTCCTAGGGCTGAGAAAGAGGGACTGTTATATCCAGCTGACTTTTATGTCTAGGCAGGACTCTAGGTTGTAGTGTCTTTAGCCACTATCCCAAACATGGCTAGTTTCATTTTCTCTTTTTCTGGGCAGAGCAGGACTTTTCCAAACAAAGACTGGCAACCATTATTAGGTTCTATGAACATATATAGAGTCCCTACAGAGCCTTGAGCTATTCATGTGAATACAAGCTATGCTTTACTTTTCATATGCCACAGTTTTTGAAATGAAAAAATAGAAGTGCATATCCCACTGTAAAACATTTTCATCCTTAAAAATTGCTGTTGCTATTCTAACTTCTGCAGTTTAAATATTCCACTGGGGGAATGGTAGAAATTTTTTTTCACTTGAAATGGTATTGCCTAACAATGACAGCTAGGTAGCATTGGAAGTTGGTTCAACAGGATTAGGTCTTCTTTTCACCCAAGTAACCAAATGCCCCTTTATTCTTGCTTTTTTCAAGCATCTGAGTCAACCGATAAATGTGTTTGCTGATTAAATTCTTCTTGCTAATAGAGATTTGTGCAAGTACATTTGCAAGGCCATTGTCATGTATTATGAATTGCCTAATTCTGTAAATTGATAAATAAAGCTTTTCTAAGCCTCTCTCCTTTTCCATTTGCAGGCATATTGTGAAAACACTTCTCCTGGGTCAAATACTCTCCTTGCTTATTTGTGGGACTGCAGTCACAAGCCAGTTTCTTGCTGACAATTACAGCATCAACACTCCAATGCTGCAGAGTTTCATAAACTATTGTTTGCTTTTCCTAGTGTACACAACAACTCTTGCATTTAGGAAAGGTAAAATGGAATATATTGAGCTCAAAAACTTCCTATATTACTCTCAAACCATGTTCTCCTTTAGAATAGTCCATTCCATCCCCTAGCTTAATGAGTTTCTTCTTAAATTTTATCCCTTTCCTTCCTCCCTCCCTCCCTCCCATCCGTCCATGCATGCATCCATCCATCCATCCGATTTATATGGCTCACCAACTATGCAGCTCTCAGTGGCTAGCATAGAATTAAAATAATAAGAAATGATAATAATAGAAACAAAGAGATAGCAAAACATGCATTCAGATCGAACAAGTACCACCTATGATGCAGAGATTCAACTACCTTAGCTTCAGCTTCAGAGAATGCCTTTTTTCCACATTCCATTTAAGTTCCCATATTGGTGGAACAGAAAAAAGGAGCATCTGTGGAATAGTAGATGGACTTACATGTTTGCTTTTTTTTTTTTTTTTTTTTTCAGATGGTGATGGAATCTTGCAGATCCTAAAGAGGAAATGGTGGAAGTACATTTTGCTTGGATTGGCTGATGTTGAAGCTAACTACACCATTGTAAAAGCCTATCAATATACAACTATAACAAGTGTCCAGGTAAAAATAATAGTGTATATTTTGGCATGTTAAGCATTAATATTTCTATGGTTGCAACCAGTGCTTTTTTTGTTAAAAAAAAAAAAAAAAGGTGCCGGAACTCACATACGTCATACAACCCAACCCGCCTTGCCTACCCTACAAGGTTCCATCCAAAAAGTGCCGGAACTCTGTTCTCGGCGTTCTATGAGAAAAAAAGCCCTGGTTGGAACAGTTTGTCTAGGCAATTGCTATTTATAATCTAATATAATAGGGTGATCCAAATTAGATCCTTAACTTCAGCCATGAGATTCATTGGGTGATTTTGAGAGAATTTCTGTGTTTTATAGGGTTGGTGCAAGAATGCAGCAATGGTGGAAAAAAACAGTTATGCCACCTTGGGTTTACTGAAATGTAATTTCAATATCATACAATAAATTGGTAGGAGAATAGCATTAGCAATAACATTTAGACTTATTTACCCCTTCATAGTGCTTTAAAGCAGAGGTCCCCAACCTTTTGGACATCAGGGACCGATTCCTTGGAGAAAGGTCTTTCCATGGACCGGAGAGTGCATAGTTTTGTGTGCTGCCTGCATCCCATGGGTGGGGCTTTGTTTGTTTGTGCGGACCAGTTGCTGGCATGCTGCGGCCCGGTACCAGTCCGCGGCCTGGGGGTTGGGGACCCCTGATTTAAAGCACTCCGTAAGCCAGGGATAGAGAACTATGGCCCTTTTATGTATTAGGGACTTCAACTCTCAGAATTCCTGAGCCAGGTATTCTGGGAGTTGAGGTACACAAGTCATAAAGGAGCCATAGTACCCTACCTCTGTTTTAATCGGTTTAGAGAGTCAGCATATTGCCCCCAACAATCTGGATCCTCATTTTATTGACCTCGGAAGGATGGAAGGCTGAGTCAACTGGTCAGAATCGAATTGCTGACAGTCAGTAGAAGTAGCCTGCAATGCTGCATTCTAACCATGCACCACTACGGCTCTTAACCGAATGCTGATTCCATCTGTTTTAGGATAGAAATGGCTGTTAAAATATAGCACTGGCCCTCTCCATGTAGCTCCTGAATTCAAACAGAAAAGTTATCCCACATTGCTGTACTGAAAATTACAATGACCTCATTTTATATGCCTACTAAAATGTGTTTTAATGATCAAATTGATCCCTGACTTTTAAGATGTTAAAAGCCTTCGGGCATTAATGGAAGATCACAGCATGCAATCTGAGAATTCCTTCACATAGCCTTGAATTATATCAATTTCTTTTCAAAGTAAAAAATTGCGCTTTTGTGCCCTTTGTCATGTCTGAGGCCTGAACATCCTTTGGCACTGCTGCTGAGGTGGATTTCACTGTGGAAATCACAGTTTAACAGTGAATGGATTCTTAACTTTGTCCATCGATGCAAACATAATTTTAGTCTGCAGTCTACAAGATACAATCATTTCATTGCTGACAGGATACTTTTGATGTTTCATCAGTGGCTTTTTTTTTTTTAGGAGATCATTTTGATAATACATATATTTATATTGATGCTACTGAAGCGGGGAAATTTCTATTGGTCTAAAATTAGGACTGAATTGAAAAGAAACATTATTTTTATTCAGTTGCAAATTCTCACAAAAGTAGGGAAGTTTTGGTGGAAGGAACTCTCTTCCCAGCCTGACAAGCCAACATTTTGCTCTGCAATGTTAAGAAATCAGAGCCAGTTTGAGGTAGTGATTAAAGTTAATGGACTGGAAGCTTGGAGATTGTTGTTTGAATCCTCTCTTAGGCATGGAAGCTGGCTAGGTGATTTTGCATCAGTCTCTGTCTCAGCCCTAGACTGGGAAGTCAAAGCTATCTATCTACCAACCTGCATTAGATCAAAGTGGAAGATTATAGTCCATAACCTTCAGCGAAGAGGTGGATTGATTCAGGATGTTGTTGAGTAATAAACATTAAATATACCCCAATCTCAAATTTAGACTATTGATTAACCTGCTTAACTATTCCTTTTCTAAGCATCTGGGGACATATCGATGTTATAATTCAGTTGGTGTTTGGGAAGCAATATTTCTATCCATAAATCAAGAGAAACTCTCAAGATCTCCTCAACCTACTGACCCACAGATACTTCTTTTGAAATCACTTTGGCAAAGTAGCAGGTTTTTTTAAAACAAAAATATTTATTTTAGTAGCATTATTTAACAAAACGGTCTCCTCAACTGGAAACTTCCCTTCCATAAGAGTGATCCAACTACTTGTTTTAGTTAAGAAAAAGCAACGCTATTTGCTTTGGTTTCAGACTGATGTTAGTTTGAAGAACTGTGTTGCAGTTTTTTTTTTTTCCTTTGAGTTTGCTAGCAGTAGGAACACAATTGCTGTTTCCCAACTGCTAAGACCACAGTGTGGTGATCTTGGCAGAGAGCTTCACTGAGTTAAGTGGTGCCTCCTTCTGAGGAAATCTGGATAAAATCCTAGAATTCTAGTACAAAGTTCTTCTTTGGGCCTTATTTAAAGTTCAAAAGATCAGGTTTTTTTTATTTTCTTAGCCTCACCATAACATTGGAGCAAATGATCCAGTGTTAACTAGAGAGTCTGTAATAGTATTTCTCAACCGTAGCAAGTTTAAGATATGTGGACTTCAACTCCCAGAATTCCCCAGCCAGCATGAAGTTGAATTGAAGTCCACATATTTTAAACTTGCTACGGTTGAGAAACACTGGTCTATAATATTTATTTGTTAAATTTATAGCTTGCCTTTTTTCTCCCGGAGCTCAGAATTTCCCTTTTTTAACTGCGCAGCAGTGATCTTGTGGGGAAGATTGAACTGGGAGTGTTGGTTCAAAGTTATCCAATGAGTTTTCATGGCTGAAGATAGTCTTGAACCTGGGAGTTACTAGTCCTAATCTAACACCTTAAACCAGTGTTTCTCAACCTCAACAATTTTAAGGCATGTGGACTTCAACTCCCAGAATTCCACAGCCAGCATTGCTGGCTGTGGAATTCTGGGAGTTGAAGTCCACATGCCTTAAAATTGTCAAGGTTGAGAAACACTGCCTTAACCGCTACATCACACTACTTCTCATGGTATGGACATTTGGGGATAAATCAGGAGGAAATGGATGCTAGATTACAAAGATCAGAGGAAGAATCTCTTTGATGCCTGCTGGGTGGTGGCCAAGTATTTTATTTTAAAATATACTCAGGATAATCTCATGAAGTAGGATGCTTTGGTTGCTGTTATTAATATGTTGTTAAAGTTTTGTTAAAAAGTTTGATTAAGGTACTAGACCTTGGCCAGGATAGAGATATAGTTGGCATGAGGAGGGAACACCCCCCCCCAAACAAACTGGAACTTTGGTTTAATTTAAATTTAGATTAAGGATAATATGTTTAATTAATTTAAAGCTAATAACATGTCTGTCCATGTATTAAGCAATTTCCTTTAATTTTTCAATTTATTGCCAGCTTTGGAAAGGCCTTAGAGTTAGCTTATATAGCCCTGTGTTCCATTGAAAACAATTTAAAAAGATCTCTTTGAGTTGAGTTCAGCCATTAAGTTTTCTCTGCAACACTTTTGGAAAGACTGCCTTCTAGAATTTTTTCCCCAGCATAGACTTCAATCCTTGGATTTCCTCATGGTTCATCACTGAGATATTAACCAGGCGTCATCCTGTTTGAGTAGATCAACCAGTTGCTGCTACGAACTGTATAAAGACCATTTAGGCTGTTTAACCTGATTTACACATCCTGAGCATCTCCTATCTGGGTGAGAAAAGACTACTTCCCATTCTTTTTTTTATGATGGAGTTCTCTTTCTTTCTGTGTATGGCAGCTCCTGGACTGTTTTGGGATCCCTGTACTGATGGCTTTATCATGGTTCATTCTCCGTGCAAGATATAAATTAATCCATTTCATTGCTGTTGCTGTTTGTCTGTTCGGCGTAGGGACCATGGTCGGTGCGGATATATTAGCTGGAAGGCAAGAGGGTGAAGGTAAGGCTTGGGCAAAATAACTTACTAAGTATGCCAAAACTCTAACCATGATAGCAGCAAGGAATATTTTAAATTTAAATATTTTAAATTCATTGATGAGACTCAGATTTGTGCCTAGTAGTGAAGAATGTTCTCTGGAAAAATCTGGATAAATAAAATAATAGTTTTCTCGTTTGGACAGACATTTTTTTTTTACTCTGCTAAGTTCAGAAAGTCAGTGTGTTTCCTTAGCCTAAAAAAGTTAGCTAGCTAAATGAAATGATAGATATATGTGTGTGTGTATATATACACAGGAACACATACTTTTATCTAGACACAGGTAGCAAAATCAGTTTACAAGAACATCTTTGGCAGGAAAATTGTCTGTTCTCTCTTTTTTATCCAAAAACAAACAGAAAAAAAAAATCCACATCCAAATATTTAGAATTACTATCGACAGTACAGTGCTGACTGTACTGTATGGCACAGATAGTCTTCAACTTACAACAGTTCATTTAGTGACCATTCAAAGTTACAACAGTACTAAAAAAAGTGACTTATGACTGTTTTTCTCACGACCGTTGAAGCATCCCATGGTCATATGATCAAAATTCAGACTGACTTGTGTTTATGACAGCTGCATTGTCCCGGGGTCATGTGATCATCTTTTGCAACCTTCTTGCAAGTAAAGTCAATGGGGGGGCCAGATTCACTTAATTACCGTGTTACTAACATAACAGCTGCGGTGATTCACTTAACAACTGTGGCAAGAAAGGTTGTAAAGTGGGGCAAAACTCGCTTAACAAATGTCTCACTTAGCAACAGAAATTTTGGGCTCAATTGTGGTAGTAAGCTGAGGACTACCTGTACTGAGAAAAATTAGCCAAATTTTTGGTGTGGGTGGATTTATTTTAAAGGAAAAAACTATGCCTTATTAAGCCACTGCAAGACCTAAGTCAATCCACTTTGCCCCTTAAAAATCCCTCCAATTCCACATATGGGCCAAGAAAAGATTAGCTACTTGAGGATGTGCAGAGAGCTGGGTGTGTGGGAGGCATAAGTGGGATGTAAGTAGCAGTTTTCCCATCCATGCGTTAGGAGGTGCTTAGACTTGGCTGAGTGTAGAAAACCTTCAGAGTTTCACTTATTGCAATATTCTGTTTTTAATGCTTATTTATCCTGGCACAGTGAATGAGTTTCTCTTTGGATGGAAATGCCATGAATTGTTTTTATGAGGAAACCTGATAGTAGATGTACAATTACTGCTTTCTTTAGAAAGTGGAAGGGAGTTAGCTTAGAGAAACGTCCTTGATCCATATTTTGCCATTCGAGATATTTGCAGTATCTTTGTGATATTGCCCACAGCTGTGTTTTGCTACAAGCGTCATGTTGTCTAAAAGAGCTTACTGTTTTTTGCTTCCCCTGCAGCATATCCTATGCTCATCTCCAAAACATTGGGAGCAATTCTCTTCCTGCAAGGTCTTGCCTAACATTTGTGGTGAGGAAAGCATGTGAGAACCCCCTGCCACCATAATCCACCCTGGAATGGGAAGGAAAATCCAGCACTTGCATGGTTTCATTGCCAACCCCTCTCTATTGATACGGTTCTTAAATTTAGTGTAGTACAAACTCAGTCACAAAATTCTTCAGAGCTTTAACAGGCCTCTTTTGTAAATGGAAAATTTGTCTAGGTCACTCTCTTGGCTTGTTACTTGTGCATCTGTTTTAATTAAGAAGACATATATCTAGTGTAGCATCTTTTTCCATATCATACTCGAAGCCTATTATTTTTAATCCTTTCAGGTCAGTCCCAGTCTTGTCCAGTAAAACTTGTTTCTCTGGCATAACATCTTTTAAATACAGTCTGCCTACAGAGGAAGATATTCTAAAAATTAACCTATGGGTCCATTGTTCAAAAATATCCTTCAATATGTCCAACGTTAAAATATTTTGCTTCATTCTATATTAGTAAGTGAAATTTAAGTGTTGTTCTCCTTTAATTGTCATCTTTATTCCCTCGGGTTCCCTGTGGTGTTCAAATTCAACCTTGGGAGGCTTATCCTATCATGTTTTTTTTTTAAAAAAAAAAAAAAGAATTCAAAACAAAAGCATTTTTCTATCTGAAGGACTCCAAAGTCCATCTGTCCCCTTAGTCCATTTATAACTTTTTAAAATCAAATTTCTAATTACTCTTTTGTTGTTTATTCCAATTTTTGTAAGTCCTTAAACTTGTATTTAAAACATCTTTCACTAAAGATTAAAAGAAACTCAGACTTGTCAATCCAAAGATTCCTAATAGCTGAAAAGCAGTTAAAAGCAATTTACAGAAGTGATTAGAAAAGAAAGTCCTCAATTCATGACCACAACTGAGCCCAAAAATTTCTGTTGCTAAGAAGGACTGGGACAGATATGAGGGCAGTATTCCAGTTCAAGCAGGGGATTGGACTAGATGACCTCCAAGGTCCCTTCCAACTCTGTTGTTCTATGTTCTAAATGTTCTAAGAGTAGTTTTGCTCTATTTTATGACCTTTCCTGCCACAGTTATTAAGTGAATCGCTGCAGTTGTTAGGTTAGTAATGTGAATTGGACTTCCCCAATGACTTTGCTTGGCAGAAGGTCACAGAAGGTGGTCGCATGACCTCTAGGGCACTGCAACTGTCATAAATATGAACCAGTTGACAAAGGTCTTAATTTTGATCCTAGAGATGCTTCAATGGTTGTGTGAAAAATGGTCATAAATCACTTTTTTCAATGTTGATGTAATTTGAAATGGTCACTAAACGAATGGTTGTAAGTCGAGGGCTGCCCGTATACGAACCCTGTGTCCTTTAGAAGACAATATCCTTCCCCAGTTTGAGCAAAAGATGGCTATTCCCTGATCTCCCAGAGTTGCCGGAAAATGCTATCTTGCAGTCTCCTTATGAGGAGCAACTGTTTGGAGCACTTGTGGGCGATCTTAGAGTCCTCTTCTTATCTGGAGAGGAATTATGAAGAACCAGTCTACTGGCGGGCTTTTCATTGTGGTGCAGTCTTTGAATCTGCTTTTAGCAGAGCCATCTTCAGTTAACAATTTCTTCCCTGGAAGCTGACCTACCTTTTAAATTTCATAGGTTTTTTTTTTCAATTAGGAGATTCATATCCTAGATAAAATCATAAGTTCAATAAAGGCCAAAGTGCTGAATTCTCTGGCTGCCCTAATGATAGGCAGTAGCCCAAAACATACCTCTTACCCTCTTACAATAGCAACAGAGTCCTCAGTAATTTTTCATTTGTTTAATATCACTTATTTAAAAGACTGTAATTCTGCCTGGAAAAACATCCCCCACCCCATAAAAATGTGCATTTCTGTTGAAAAGAACAATTTGGAGATTGAACAAAGTTCTCAGTAAGATCATGTTGCAGTAAAGCTTAATAAAACAAGGACTAAAAGTTTTGGCCTCAAAATAAAATAAAATAACATCCATTTGGAAACTTTCTGAAAGGCAGAACCTGGTCCAGCTCTTATGGAGATTGATCTATTGATTTCCATGGAAAGTTAAATTAAGCCATTAATGCAAAATATAGAGAGAATGTGGGGAGGAAATCTAAGATTCTGGGAAGATGATGATTGGCATTAGTTGAATGTGCGGTTTCTTCTGAGGTTCTTAAAAATATCCAAGAGCAGGTATTTGTTTGTTTTCTACAGTATTATCTATCAAACAGAATCTGTTACTCACAATAGTTTTTACACTGTCTGAATTAAGACTTTGTTGTTGTTCAGTCATTAAGTCACATCCGACTCTTTGCAACCCTATGGACCACAGCACTCCAGGCTCCCCTCATTCATATTTGTGTTGGATGCTTCCTATTGAAAGGAATAGTGACATCACCATTGCTGGGGGATACACAATTGGGGGCTCCTTTCATGTCCCAGTTAATGTGTCCACTGAAGTGATATCTATCTACTTGCAAGTGTACACTTTCAAACTGTTAGGTTGGAAGGAGCTGGAGTGAATTTTGGGAACTTACTCCGTTAAGCAGCACTTGGGTTTTGAACATGGGCTTGCTGATCGTCAACACAGTATACTAACTATGGGAACTACCATGCTCCATGCCAGGCTCCCCTGTCTTCCACTGTCTCCCGGAGTTTGCCCAAATTCATGTTCTTTGCATTGAACACTATCTAACCATCTCATTCTCTGCCATCCGCTTCTCCTTTCGCCTTCAATCATTCCCAACATCAAGACCTTCTTCAATGATTCCTCTCTTCTCATTAGTATTTCAGTTTCAGCTTCAGTATCTGTCCTTCCAGAGAACAGTCAGGGTCGATTTCCTTTAGTGTTGACTGGTTTGATCTCCTTGCAATCCAAGGAACTCTGAAGAGTCTTCTCTGGCACCACAATTTGAAAGGAGAATTAGGATTAGGTATCAGATTTTAGAGGAAGAAAAGTTTTCTCATCTTGTAAGAGTAGGAATGATTTGATTTCAAGAGAAAGCCAAACATGGAAACTTTTACCAAGTTGTTGAAAGCAGTTTTGCAGCACAAGCTCAGGTTCTTTCATATGTGTGTGTGTAAAGTTGTGACATGTGCATCAAAGAAATAGGGCTTATGTTGTGATGGCACAATACTGTCATCATTCTCCCCCTCTCCCCTGCCCCATTGCCTTGCCCTGCAGATGCCAGTGAACCCAGTTTTTTCTGAGAACATTTCTTGACTTCAGGGTCAAAAATGACTTACAGGAAGTCCAAAACCGATGATGGCTGGCTACTTTAGTTAAACATATGAATAAGTGTCTTCAAAAGAAAACATGAGAGCTTGATGGCAAAGCTGAGGCAAAAAAAATTAATTGTCCATAGAGGTCAGTTGCTGTATTGTTTTTATAATCTTTGTGGTTTTATGGTCTTTAGATGCTCACATCTAAAATCCAAAGCTTCTGTAGAATTTAATAGGGAAAGTTTAGGATTGGGGGGTATGGGAAGAGGGGGGGAAAAATAAAGTCAAGATGGTATCTTCAGTTGCATGTGTGAAGCCCCATGCCTTTTTATGTGCCTCACAATACATATACAAAGAGCAGGGCTTCAAACATGGTTGCAGCTGCCATTGTGATCCTTTTGATTTAATGCTGATTTCCAGGTTTGTTTCCTTGTTTTTATTATGCTGAGAAGAGAAACTCGAACAATATCTTGTTCATGATGGCTTTAGTCAGATAAAGATAGATAGTAAAGACATTACAGGCTAATTGTTGTACAATTAGTTTTGTACAATTAAAGGCAACTGGGTTTTGATGAAACACTAAACACATTCAATATTTATTGTGTAGGGAGAAAGAAGACACCTTTTCATAAACATTTTAATATTGGAAATATTACTTATCATCATTTTAATTTTATCATTCAAATTCCCTCCGATGTTATTGTCCCTGTTTTCTGTGCAGGGAGCGACGTGGTGATTGGAGATGTCTTAGTCCTCCTCGGCGCTTCATTATATGCCATTTCGAATGTGAGTGAGGAATACATTGTGAAAAATCTGAGCAGAATGGAGTTTCTAGGAATGGTGGGCTTGTTTGGGACTGTTATCAGCGGTCTGCAGCTGTAAGGATCTACTCTATGTATTTTAATTGTAATTAAGAAAACCATCTACAGCACAGAATGGTTTCTCTCTGTGTATTGGTGGGTGTAATTATTAATCCATTGTCAACATCATAATTAACCTTTGTGGGTGTTCAAGCATCTGTAGGCTTGCAAGGGTGTGACCGGCTAGATCTTCACATTTTTTGACTTGGCACACCAAGCTTTCCTACACTTAATTGCTTCTCCCCAACTGTTTGTATCTTTTCATCTAACCCAGTGGTTCTCAACCTGTGGGTCGGGACCCCATTTGGGGTCGAACGACCATTTCACGGGGGTCGCCAAACAACGCAGTCCGCCATTTTTTTCCCCTTTTCCTTAGCTGTGCTACTCCCTTTTATTCTATTGGCTTTTGAAAGCCAATAGAATAGACTCTCTTGAATAGAGTCTAATTCTATTGGCTTTCAAAAGCCAATAGGAATTGTCCAGGCTGTCTCTGCCCTGCTGAGCCCGCCAAAAGTCCCATTCTGCAAACGGTGCTGCACCAGTTGAATAGTCCTCGACTTATGACCGGTTGAGTAGTCCTCGACTTACAACTGGTTGGGGGTCGCGGCATTAAAAAAGTTGAGAACCACTGATCTAACCTATAACGGGAAACTCAGATTTCACCTGACCACTGAAGATAACTTTTGATTTGCTTGCCCGATCTAATGTGCACAATTTATACATAGCCTGAATTCAGCATTCACCAGCTTATGGGCTGATTGTGCAGTCAAATGGCTGTCAGGTCCAACCAATGGTTATTCATGCAAATAATCTCTTTGACTTTCATAGAATTAGTCATGGAATTAAAGATTCTATGAGATTAACCATTAGTAGGTTCAGATCCTGACTTTCTGCAATCATTGCTACAGACTGTTTATCTTTTACAGTTTCAGCAAGCAGAAATTCAACTGTTCTTCTCATTGGTTCATTTCTGTGTTTGCTTATTTACTTTAGAATTTGTAAGGCACCCATGTTGGTCCTTTGAATTTCCAACTCTTGTTTGTAATTACATAGTTAAAACAGAGTTTTTCTGAATGATTTGAAACAGTTCTTCCCATGTTTCTTACCACCTGGACTGAGTTACTGTTTATAAAACAAACTACTGAGGACTTAGCTTGTGCCTCTTCATGCCTACTCTTTCTTTCATTACTTTCCCCGCTTCCCCACCAATTTTTCCAGGGTACAAAAATATGGATGATCAGAGAAGCACAGTTTCACAACTGTTCTGTTGCCATTAGTGGTTGTCTATAGTTTTGTACTCCATACTGACTTAGTTGATTATGTGAACTAGACCAACAAAATCCGAAGCTGTGAGTTAGTTGCTGGCACAGTGTTCTTTATACTGTTCTTAATACTTCATATTAATAGCAAGCTGATTTTCTGGGTGTGGTTCTTATATAACAGAAATAGTTCAAGGGAGATCAGGCAACAAACCTGCATATTACCAGTAAGACAACACACTTCATATCAAAGGCCATTTAGAAGAGGGAAACATGATTAAACAATAAATATACTTTTTTAGCTTATTTATAAATGCTGATTAACTTTGAGAAAAGGAAGTCAAAGGAATATTAAATAAGCATGTTTTTGATTTCCATTTTAATCCTCTCATCCTCTCCTGATTGAATTCTTGATTGACTGAGCAACTAATACGTTTCAGTTAGTAAGCTTCTTTTCCATTATGATGTACTATGAATACTGTACCTATTTTTTGATATGCTGAATGTTGAGATATGGACTTGTGCACTTGAATGCAATAAAACCATTCTATAGGTTTTTATTTGAACTTTGCAAAGTTCTGTTTTTTTTAAAAAAAAATCCTCTTAACTTGCTTGTTACAATTTTCAACTCATCGAAAAACTTATTTCTGTGCTTTCTAATACAATATATATTTAATATATCATCACCATCTGTATGCTACCTCTCAACATTCTGTAGTACAATGTAACCATTTTAAGAGAATTTAGTTGACAAAGTGGGCTCATTTCTCCAAAAGTTTATACTGTTATAAACCTGTTCTTCTTTAAGGAGCAAGAAAATGTTTTTATGTGTATGGATCTCAAAGCTGTAATTCTATACATTCTGACTTGAGATGGAATCCACTAAACCCTGTGGGACTAACTTTTAAATAAAGGTTAATTTGTTGTAAGATGATTTGTCTATTAATTTATCTATTACTTGTTATTTTATTCTAGACTCTAGAAACAATAGCCTCACATTTTAATGAGCATTTCTTTTCTGTTTTTATTTTTTTCTCCTTCTCCCCCCCCCCCCCGCCTTTTAGAGCTATTGTGGAACACAGAGACATAGCTAATATTCAGTGGAACTGGAAAATTGGTATGTATGTGTGTTGTACAACACAGGGACAAATAAACTGAATTGCTTTGCATATTAGGCCTACTTTTATTATGTTACCTAGTCAACTAAAATAAATAACAATATGGGGATAAAGAGGGTTTTTGCAATGCTAGTTACAAGTTTAGAGAAAAATGCATAAAATCCAGACATTCTGCTTGCATTGAATATAAAGGATCAATACAAATAAATTTAATCTTCCCTGCATAATAAATGTATAATGAAAGTCACTGTATACATGCCTTCATTTTGCAGTCATCTCCATTTGCTATACAGGTTTATGGATATGACATTAATAAGTTAGTAAGTTAGTGTTTAGTTAGAAGTATTGAATTCCCATCTATTGTTTGGCTATGTTCATTGCCAGCCATTAGGGATTGGGAATACTGTTGTCTCTCACTTGTTTTGGGAGAATCTGAAAACAGAGAATCTGAAAAAAGTATTGCCGGTGGGAAAAAAAGCAATTTCTGAATATTAGTGTTTGCCCTTGCCCCACTTTTATATTCTTGACATTCAGTCTCTGAACTGAAAAGTTGTTGCTTTTTTCCCCAGCCTTGCTCTTCTTGGCTTTTGCCTTGTGCATGTTTGGGCTGTACAGTTTCATGCCAATTGTGATCAGAGTGACAAGTGCCACCTCCGTCAACTTGGGCATCCTGACAGCTGATCTCTACAGTCTTTTCTTTGGACTTTTCCTATTTGGCTACAAGGTGAGTGAGATTTGGATCCTGGTAAGTGAGCACATTCAAATATGATTGGAATAAGGAATTAAAGCATCAGCAGTTTTGCAACCTTTTAATAACTAACTAATTTATTGTCTTGTTAATGTTTGTTGTTTAGAATTCACGTGTATTACGTGAATTGTAGACTATACGTTTTTGTAGACTACAGTCTACGTCAGATGCACAAAGAATTAAAAGAGTATCTGCAGACATATTGTTCTTTGAGAGAATAGAAGGATGTTAGCCACCTTCCCTGATAATGCAACTTTGACTGCCAAGTGTCTGATCCTACAGGAATAAAAAAAGGTTCCCTATCATTTTAACTCTGATTTGTTGACTTATTGTGATCTTGGTTATACTTTGCACTAAGTCAAAACCACAATTTCCGAACCACATGTCATACTCAGCTAAGAGGAAGCTAAACATTTTTGTGAATTAGCTCAAATGTATGAACACAAGCAGTGTCGTGTTTCCCTAAAACTTGGAAACCTGAAAGCGCCATGAATTCTGAGATCTGTGGTGCCACCGCATTGAGAGAATAGCAATTTGGAAAAGTCAGAGCACATATTACCATAAAAAAAGGCCAGCCCTCTGTAAGCTCCCCAAAGATAATAACCCTATAGTCTGACTAAGACCTTGAAAGTTTACTCTGGTTTATTTGGTGAAATTCTGTAGGCTTGTGCAAGTCTGCATCACACAATGTTTTAGAGTGATAAACTAGCATTGTCTACTGCATTTGGATAACTGATTTGCTGAAATATCTGTGAGGGGATGGGATGACTCTAAAAGGTCATTTTTCCTAGCAAACTGATGTCTCAGATTCTTGGCCTAGAGCTGGTTTCAGACCTGAAAGAGTAGTTTCCATAGTTCAGTCACACCTATTTCAACTTTAACAGAAGGATAGGAAATAAGCATGGCTGGCAGTTTAGGAGAAGCAACTTTGAGTCAGAATATATAATGTGGAGCTGGAATGAAGCTATCTTCAAAAGAGAATCTTTATTGCACTAACTCTTGTTGATTAAAGATTACTGAAGCTTTTCAGCTTTCTCAGAATTCTTAACAGGTTCTTTTCTCAGAAGAAGAATTATATTTAACCAACTAATTACATTTTTATTACGACAGCCAGAGTTTTCCACACCTCAGAGCAATTCATTCAAATATGCTCAGGCCAATGTTTAATTGGCTAAAACTTTATTTGTGATTGGATTTAAAGACTTCTAAATGTTTGCAGTAGGTATCCATGATGATTTGGACACCAAAAGCCACACTTTGATTTTGAATGATGTGCCAGGAGTCAGGGTAGAAAAGTAAACTTGGTTTCATTTCATTTATACTTAAACAGAAATATAACTAATTATAATTAATATAATTACTGTCTAACTACAGCAGGTGATGATATCTTTGCTGATCTTGAAAAAACTGTTCAAATTGGATCCAGTTAATATTTGGATAGGAAACACTGGGAATCTCGGGGCTATAAACTTGACTTAGAGGCTAGAAAAACATCTTAAAAGAAGAGAGTGGCAACCTTGTTTCATTTGGTTGCCAATAAAACAGCATAGACTTGTTAATATAGGAGTTCTCTAGGGCACTTACATGATTTTGGGAAGTCTTAGAGGGACCCCCAAGTTGAAGGAGAAAAAAATACATGCCTATTCAATAAATTTCCTTGTCTACCAGCAGCAATTAAAATATCATGTAGAAGCAAAAGTGCTCATAATCTGTCTCCTGATTTGGATGACTGCCAAATTGGAGTGTTATAAAACATTTTGAGATAGAGTCTCACCTTTGCATATGGTTTTGGTGCCTTGAATAAAAGCTGTTTCCTCATGTATGTGAGCCTTAGTACATTATTTTACTAATGATAGATAGCTTGGAGCTGCTTATGGGTTCTTCTAGAATTTCTGGCAAGTAGATCATCTACCCTTAGTCTGGGGACTAAAAGTGCTTCAGAGTTTTTAATGCTTTTCTGATCTTCTGCATCCAAATCTTATAGATAGATACATTTCAGTTTACCTACCAAAATCAAAGGTGACAGCTCAAGATAGATACCAATGGATACCAGCATAAATCTGCTCCTGTAGCTAAATCATGTCTTCGGTTTTGAAGAAACATAGCAGCTAATGCTAGACCTAAGACTTATTTTCTTCTGTTGTTTGTTTGTCAAACTGTTTGAATTGACAGTGGGAGGGAAGGTTAGAAGTAAAGCTGGCTAAGAAGAGCAAAAATGATGTGAGATTGGGGCAAGGCCTAGAATTAAATCTCCCTCTCCCATCTTCTCAATCTGTCCATCAAATAGCAGAGGTCTTGAGTTAACCCAGTAATTTATCCAAATATAATTGAAAGAATTTGATACAGTAAATCCTCTGTCATTTCAGTAAAGTCTTTGCTGTTAAAAAAAAAGCCACAAAATGCATAGACATCTAGTATAAATTATGTTGATGTGTTCTGTATCATGTTATTATATAAATGACACAAATAGAGGGTTATTTGTATTATATAATTGATGCAAATTATATCATTTGTATCATTTATGCACTGATGTCATAATGCCTATAATATCCCTCACTCCTCTGGATGCCCATTTTTAGGTAGATGGAATTTATGGTTATCCATATTTGTATGGAAGAGACTATTCATCTCTATACTTCTCTTTCTCTCTTATGTTGATCAGTTTTCCGTGCTGTACCTCTTATCCTTTGTGGTCATCATGATCGGCTTCATCATGTATTGCTCCACCCCAACCCGTACTGCAGAGGTTCCCTCAACCACGTTGCCAATGGCAGATAGTACTGGATTTGACAACCTTGCTTTAAAAATTGAGGAGAACCACCTGGATTCCACTGACACTTTGACAATACTGTGCAACAAAGATGACAGCCAGGCAGAAGACACAACTACAAAATTAACAGTTTTATGAAATATGAAATTTCAGCTGCTGAAGTTGCTCTGGAGAAATCAGAAAGCACCAGATGACACTATGTTATGGTGGACAAACTGGAGAAATACCAATTATGGAATTTGTGCTCATGACAAAATCTGGAAATGTTATCACCAAAACAAGGAGGCCTAGATCCTTACTTGGAACACTGATATTAATTCTTGTTTATTGAAGATTATTCTTAGAGCTGACAAGTGAATAGAAAAGTAGATACTAGACTGTCTTTCTATCAAACAAAGCCAGATTATACTCAGAATAAACATATGTTTTATTTTGAGTAATTTCTTATGTTCTCAAACTTATACATGGTTAATGAGATTAGCAAGAAGAAAATGAAAGATGGAAAACAAGAAAGAAAAACACAAAACATCAGATGGCAGCTAGGATCAGAGAGACTCAGAACACAGATCAAGGTTAGTGAAGGATCCTTATCTCCCAGATTGCTAAACCATGAGGAGGAGAAATCTTGCATTTTGGAAGTGTGAATCCTGTAGAGACTCTGATCTTTATCCACTTAACATGCAGAGACAATGTATATTGTTCACATTAATTTAATTGCAACACAATTCTTAGGTTCAGTTGCATTGACTGCTGATGCTAATAAATGAAGAAAAAGCATGACTAATTTTATGACATGAAAAGATGCATCAAACCCTTTTTCTAGTTGTGTGCACAAACACACTTGAAGTGTATCTGTTCTGCAACCAAACAAGGTATTTTTTTTTTTGCAGAAGATAATTTATGTGTAGATCAATTTCTTTGAAAATATAAAGATACTGTTAACAACAAGTGGTTCCCCAAGTTGTATGAATGCATATGTATATATAAACAGGAGGGAGATATTTGTCACCTTGCTAAAGTATAGTTGCTGAATTATACCTCCCAGCATCTTTCACCTTTGACCACACTAGTTGGAGTTGCTGACGGTTGTAGTTTAGCAACTTCTGAAGGGCCATAAGTTCTCCCACGCCTGATACAAGCAGAATAACATGGGAACTCTGATTACTGTTCCAAATTCGCTTCCCTAGCAGCTCCAAGGAGATAATTTGAATGCTCTTGATGACGTAGAAGTAGAGGGTATGAGTTTAATCCTACTTGTTGTATATTCCTTGAAAAGACTGATGAGAAACGTAACTGATGTTTTTTATGCCATTAAAACAATAATCTGGCGACACTTCCAAGAATTATTGTCCCACCTCTGGGAACAGAAAACAAGGAGTAAAGTCTTATTTAAAAGTGGCTTGGAGGAAAAACACAAAAACTAAGTTCTCTCATTGTCCCCTGAGTATTTTTGTCTTTTTGGAACGTAAGGTACTTGAAAAATTCTAGGGAATTGTTCAGAGTGGGTCTTGGTACTTAAAGATAAAGCTTTCCCCTGTCCAGTCATGTCTGACTCTAGGGGGTGGTGATCATCTCCGTTTTTTAGTTGAGGGAGCCGGCGTCATCTGAAGACATTTCCCTTATCATGTGGCCAGTATCACTATACGCCAAGGCATACAGAGCACTTTTTCCTTCCCACCGAACTGGTTTCTATTTATTTACTCACATTTGCATGCTTTTGAACTGCTACGTGGGCAAAAGTTGAAACAAGAACGGGAGCTCACCCCATCCCACGACACTCGGATCTCGAACACGGTCAGGTTTCTAGCTGATAAGCTCAGTTTAACCACTGAGCCATTGCGCCCCCTTTGGTACTTTTTTACCTTATTTATTTCATATCTACCCTTTATAACCTTGTGGGAAAAGTAGGAGCTGGAGCTTTCTATTACCACATTGGGGTGATAAGACCTATCAGATTTCTTACGGAAGACAGGATTAACTTGACCTCTATGGGAAAAATATGCTACTTTTGATTTTTTTTTCTAGTTAAGATTTATGCTATTGGCTCAATTTAAAGTTACAGTTTATCCAATATAGCCATTCTGCCTGTGAGTAAATAGCAAAATTGAGGCTTTTCATCATCTGTTTACAAAGGGAATGAAATGTATAACTTAGTTTTGCTTAATAGCCACACAATAAAACATTATTCTGAGTTTTCACTCAGTGTTTGATTTCATTATTTTACCCTACCCTTCTTCAGAAGAGCACTAATTGATGTATATGGGGATTCCCTTGTTGCTGGAGTTTTTTGAGGTAAATTAAATGTGGTGCAAACTTGGTTTTCCTGCTCTTTCTGTGCTTGCTAAAGCCCTCTTGAATTATATTGGGAAGTATCAGATTCTTATATTTGAAGAAGCACAAGTGCTGTAGACCCAACTTTTCTATATTCCCCTTGTGGTATTCCAAGCAGAGGGTGAGTTTACAGCAAAGGTTAGACCTGGTAATAGTATCTAATTTTCTTGGTAATGTTTTGGAAGATGTTTTTCATTGTCTTTTTCCAAGATGTTTTCAGTCAAGCCGAAAGCTCTGGAATTCCAACCTGTTTCCCATCCATATATTAACCAGAGCTGATTCTACTTAATTTCTTTTTTTAAAAAAATAATAGTTTTATTGGTTTCTGATTCTACTTACTGTGTCTTCCGAGATCCGTCCATATCGCTATGGCTCCACTATCTGCTGAAGCAAGTTTGGGCTCTGAGTTTATTGAAATTGTAGGGTTAATCTGGTAAGTAAAAAAAGAAAACCAGGAGTCTGATAGCAAGTTTTCTAACAAATTTTGTTAAAAGGCAATACATTTTGGTGAACTGCAGCTTGCTTCACCACTTGCACAGAATGACTAGATTGATGTAGAATTTGTGGACTTCAGCGTGGCTGGGGAATTCTGGGAGTTGAAGTCCTTAAAGTTGCTGAGGTTGGGAAACATTGCTTTACGTTAACATGATCAGATAATAATTTAGGTCAGGGGTGTCCAACTTTAGCAATTTTAAGGCTTGTGGACTTCAACTCGTATGCTGGCTGAGGAATTCTGGGAGTTGAAGTCGACAAGCCTTGAAGTTGCCAATCTGGACACCCTTGATTTAGGTGGTTTCAGAAGGTAAAAATTCCTGAGAGTTTTGAGAGCCATGTGGTTCAATGGTTGAGGTATTGGACAAGTTGAAGGATGACTAATATCTGGTCCATCCTAACCCCAGAAGCTCATTGGGTGATTATGAGCCTGTTGCTTGCTCTCAACCCAATCTACATTGCAGTATTGCTGTTATGGGGGAATAATAAGTGAGAGTAATACGTACATCATCTTGAGTTCCTGTACAATACAAGATAAAAAACAAACTAGTTCAGGCAGTGAATAAGTTCAAACTTAAGTGAACCTTTAGTCATAATATTCTGTCCTTGTAATAACAATTTAGAGAATCAGGGATCTAATCACATGGAAACCCTTTCATAGAGCAGGGATTGTTAGCACAGAGCATTTGTAGACCCCCAAATAAAATTCAAATTAGCTTCATGTCATGTGAGAAAATCAGAATAGCACCAGGTGAACGATGAGAAAGTTTGCTAGTGATATTACTGAAATCTCATCCAACTTTGCACTTTATGCTCAGAAACTTGGTATGCTTTATTCGTTACCTAGATATTTGCAGCCTAAAAAGATTGGTTGATGATAGGCAATATAAGCATATATAACTAGAAGATGTTAATAAATACAATTTTGAAGAATTTAATGCTTGGAAAAAAATTCATGATCCCTGTGTTAATACTCTCCATTGCACAACCAAAATGACTAAAGTAGGTTAATATATCAATTTTTTAAAAAACTCAGGAATATAAACTCGATCAAAACTTTAAAGACAAATAGGCTGACAATAAATTATGAACACTCCTTTTCTAGGCATGTGTAATAATATAATATAATAATAACATCAATAACAATAATAAAGTTGGAAGGGACTTTAGAGGTCTTCTAGTCCAACCCCCTGCTCAGGCAGGAAACCCTATACCATTTCAGACAAATGGCTGTCCAGTCTCTTCTTAAAAACTTCCAGTGTTGGAGCATTCACAGCTTCTGGAGGCAGGTTGGGTATGCATATTCCATGTTCCCATGATAAACTGGTTATTTGCTCAGTTTTCAAACTTTCTGCAATACTAAACAAACCACTTCAGCTTGGTAACTTTAAGATATGTGGATTTCAACTCCCAAAATTCCCCCAGCTAGCCAAGCAATGAACTAATAATACATGTTGGCTTTAGAAAAGATGGTTGGGTAAAATGTGCTTGCCTAGTTTGCAGTTCAGTATCATGTAAACAGGCTTAAGTGTAATTGTAGATAGTCCTAAAGGGACCAAGCAGAAACTAGTGTTTGTTTGGGCCCTTTCAGATGTGATTTGGCTGAAAGAAAAGGCAGTCTTTGGATAGGTGCTAAATAATTTATATTTGCGTCTTAGGCCACTAGATGGCATCCAAATAACTTTTTTCCTATTCTCAATGCAGGCATAGGAAGAATTTGGTTCTCTGGAGTAGGAAAGGCAGCAGAATTTTGAAAGAAAAAAGAGATTTTAGCTTAAAACGTAAATATAAGCCAGAAATATTGTTTGCACAACTCTTTTAATCAGGATGGTTAATACCATTGGCCACATTTGTACAACATTCTGAAGCTATTTAATTTTAAGTGTGATTCACAACAGACTTGGGGGCAGCTTCATCATGTATATGGTTTAAACTGCCTATAGCTCACTAGGAAAATGATCTTGACGGCCATAGTTGATTCAGTGAGGCTGTTGACCGATAGGTGAAAAAGGCAAATTCTACTGTAATGGTCAGTAGGAAAAGAGGCAAAAAATTATTACCATCAGCTGTTTGTTTTGAGATACAATATTATCATTTCATTGGAATGCAATGTTCTTCTAAATCAGTGTTTCTCAACCTTGACAATTTTAAGGCATGTGGACTTCAACTCCCAGAATTCCACAGCCAGCAAGTTTCCGAAGATCCATGAAAGGGAGACTCTGTCTCAATATCCCCCTCACTAGCATCTGTGAAAAACAAAATGCCCTCCAACAGATAATCACATACTTAAGTATTCAAGTATTCAGTATGACATACACAGTCACATCTCTACAGTCAGTCCTACATTCTTAGATCTTCAATGGGATCTTTTACATGTCCTTTCTTAACATCAACTGCTAATTCTGCCTTTGCCATTGCAGAACCTAGAATGCCTACTGCTGATCCTGAGATCATCTCCTTCCTTTGTTACATTTTAGAAGGGGGCATAACAGATTTATTTTGGCTCAGCATTCTAAGTTTGTTTTAAATAAAATTCTGTTTAATTATAGACATAATCAAACTTTTAAGTAGAATACCATCAAACATTGACATCTTAAGTCTTCTTTCAGATATTTTGTGCCAATCTAGGCAGTTGCAAACATGTGGCATAGTCTTGATGCTAAGGCTAATTAATGGAGAAATTAAAAATATGACTTTAGTGTCTTTGTAAATTAAAAAGAATCTCTACTTTTTATGTAGGTGCTTATATGCATCCATATATGCATCCTGGATCCTGGATATCAGGGAAAAGAGCTGAGAATAGATAGGAGGATAAGGTGATAACTATATGGTCTTATTTATACCATCTTTCTCCTCCATGTCTGTTCCTTTATAAATTGTTCTTCTGGTGCTCACAGTTCTCACACGGGTATTGATAGAAAAATCTTCATCAGGGTCCAGTCCAAGCTGGGAATAAACAAACTGGAGACTGCTTTAGAAAAAAGGTTGTAGTTTATTGAAGAGGAGAGCCAAACAGAAAGATGTCTCTGAAAAAAAAACTGACCACATGTAGCAGAGAGTGGTGGGCTTTTATACCTTCTGGGGCTCTTGAGGTTGTTTCCTGTTCCTGTTTGAGGTTTTGTATTTCCTGTGACATGTACTTTGACCTGAGTCTGAGTGTGCCCCTTTGACATTGGTGGGTTAATTCTGTTATGTCTCCTGTCTTAGAGTTTGGATGGGGTATGTAGATTTTAAGGGTCGTTGTCTTCCCAATTTCTTCAGTTTCTAGCTGAAAGGCTCCAATCTTTCTGAAAGGATTATTGAATTTGCATTTCTAAAAGCTGGCCTCTGCCTAGTTTCTGCTTGGGAGAGAGGGGCTGGGGCTGATTTCTGGGGGCTGGTTTCTGTTTTTTTTTTTAAAGATCTTCTCCATTATTCCTTTGGGGAAATATATTCTGCCTTTTTTATATTTCCCAAAATATTTCTTTCTCTGGATTCTTCCCACAGTACAATCTTATGTATTGACATGTTCAAATTTTCATCTCGTCCAAATCCCATAGACGGTTAAACTTTTGGTACGAAAGGAAAGAACAAGAGTTGTTTCAGTCTTAAAATGAACTAAGATAGTTTTCTGTGGAGGTATGATGTTTATAAGAACTTCTGTAACTTGACCTAGTTATGTTTTCTTCAGCTAAGAATAGGCCATTCTAGGCGTCTTGCCACATGCTAGGATTGGCAACTATTTAAGAGAACAAAATCCCATGCATTTTGCAGGAGGGAGGAGATGGGATATTACTTAAACAGTTCTGTAAGTAATCTCCCTTACTCCTATTTCAGGTTTCAGATATTGAGAAGAAAAATAATTAATTAAAATGCCTGCCTAAAGATAGTCCTGCAAAAGCCCCGTGTTGAAGCTGTCTTCCCTGATGTGACTCCCATATGGCTGTGGGCTATATGTGAATTATGCAATTGCAGATCATGCGAACATGTCACCTTCTCTGGCATCTGTCTTCTGAGTGAATGGTAAAGTTTGATCTATCTTTTTAAATCTTGGCCTGCAGTAGCACATTTCCACATTTGTGACATGCATATTTTCATATTTGCTCTCTGCAGTGCTTCTAAAACATCAGAAACTATAGGGGAAGAGCTGGTATTAAAAATCCTTTTCCTAAGGATTTTTCTACTGAATATTTTGGAAATTGAATGGTGCTGGGGTGTGAATAGTCAGGCGTGGAGGTTTGCAATGCAGGCACTTCCTGTGTAGCCTCCCTTCTGAGATTAAACAAGATGATAGGAGCTTCAGAAGTTCCATCTGTGATGGTAACATGAGGAAGGGTGCAAAGCTGTTTTTATAGATGCTTGCCATTAAGTAGATATGTAGCCACTTTGCATTATCCATTAGTTTTAGCTGCAAATGTACAAATGGCATTGTGTGGCACTGGGCAGCCTTGCCTGTTACTCAACAGGAAATAAGAAAGGACAGTACTGGAGTCCAAATCAACAGCCTGCAGCTGTCAAACAATGAAAGGAAAATCTCTGTAGGACAGCCAGATATTCCAGTGAGAAAACTCAGATGGCAACCATAGAGCACTGCACCAGTGCTCTCCTTGTTATATTTTTTTTAAAGAAACAGTATTATATTTAATATTAACTGAGAGAGTCACAAAGACAGCCAGTCTACTCTGAGCTATGATTCTGGTAGAGAACAGATGGTCACCTGTCACCTCTCTACAGCAGGGGTATCAAACTTAATTTCATTGAGGGCCGCATCTGCATTGCAGTTGCCCGCGGGGGGGCTGGGTGGGTGTGGCCAGGGTGGGTGTGGCCTACTGGGTGGGTATGGATGGAGTGGGTGTGGCCTACTGGGTGGGCATGGCCAGCTCTACATCATTCATGTCAAGGGTGCCTGTGAGGGCCTGGGCGGGAGTGGGACAGATCTGAGGGTCTCTGGCAGAAAGG